AATGGAGTAGCCCTCATAGTCAACAAAAGAGTGGGAAAAGCTGTACAATCTCAAAAATGATAGAATGATTTCAATACGAATCCAAGGCAGACCTTTCAACATCACAGAAATCCAAGTTTATGCACCAACCACTGATGCTGGAGGCTGAAATTGAACAGTTTTATGAAGATTTACAACACCTTCTAGAACTGACACCAAAGAAAGATGTTCTCATTCTAGGGGACTGGGATGCTAAACGAGTGCAGACATCCCATGTTTACTATACCGGCAAAACTTCCTGCTCTGTGGGGGCTCAGTGGACACTAGCCAATGGGTTGTTGGGGTGTGTGTGCAAAAAAGGTATAATTAAGTTACATTTCCAAAGCAATGTAACAAGGAATTGTAAACTTTCTTTGTGTGTGTGAGAGAGTAGAAAATATTTCAAGGCACCTCAGAGGCAGGTCTCCTGCATATTTTATGCCATTCCCTTACCAATCTTGAAGATATGTTGTTTATTTTTCTATTTTGACCAGTGTTTTTAGATTACAGCGGGGGCCTCGAAGGAAACCAGAGAAGATTGCCCTGCCCTCTTTCTGGTGTTCTGGTAACAGCAACACGACGTACTAACTGTGTGCACCACCAACAGTTACTTTGGTGAATGAATGGAGCAATGAATAAGACCATTGGGCTTCCCCCAAAGGAACGAGTAAAGCAACACGGTCTGGAAATTGTAAAAAAGCATCCAGAATCTATAAAAAAGAGGGGCAAAGACAGCAGTACCCTTGAATCCGCTTGTGATGCTGGTTTTGGAGACTTGGAGTGCCACTCCTTTGATACCCCGATTCTTCCTCCAAGGAACGTCTCTGTGTGGGGTGGGGCAGGATCCCTGGTTCTATCTTTTGTTGCTAGAAGGGCACCATGAGGTTTTGGACCATATGCAAGCTACAGATCTCACATTACCTTCTCTCGGTGTGAGACCCTGGGATGTTGCAGGGGTACCCCTCAACTCATGGTCCGCAGCTTCCCCACAGAACAGTCGCTGTAAGACTGAACTCTGTGCCGGGCACTGCAAAAGAGTTGCACCACCAGCTCTGCCGGGAGGAAGGAAAGCCACTTTCTCCAGCCCTTCCGTTGAGTCCTGAGAATGGTCTCCTTCTTCCTGCTTCCTCCTGCCTTCCTTCTCTCCTTCCCTCCCTCTTGGCACACACAACTGTATGCCTGGGGAGTCCAATGAGCGGCCAAAGCTGTGTGGCCTTTCTTCAAAGGTTGTCCTATTTTTGGTGTAGAATCTGGGTCAGATGCACGGCGGAGGAAGAGCAAGAACCTCATGATGTGACCGCTCGCCTTCGTACAGGGACCCGTTGGGGCAATTTCTGCAGGAGAAGGTCTCTGGGTGCCACCTAACTGGCTTCAGTCCTGTTGCACACAAAATGAACTCTCCTGCTTAGACTTGTGGCGATCTTCCCTGCTCCCCAATTGCTTCCCACACCCTCAACTTTTATCCATCATCTTCCCCCTTTGCCCAGTGGAGGCTAGCTCACACCAGTATCAGGGAATAGTGAATTAGTTTACAGGAGCTATCCCGGGTGCTGAAACCTAACTTCCATAGGTTTAGCCTTTTGGATGGCTCCCTCAAAGTCTGGATTGAAACCCGGAGCAGACACCCTGTACTTTGGAATCGCCACTTATGGGGGAAGCCAGCAGCAGACAGAGCCAAAACGAGCCAGGCCAAGGTTCAAGGAAGCCATCCGCAAAAGCTATCTAGAACTGATAGGGATACACAAACTGCGTGTCGTTTCCAGCAAAGTATCCCTGACAGGAAAGCCTTTTACACATCTTGATCTGCACCTCTCCCCACTTCCTCGAATCCCCTTCGACGCTAGGTGCCGGACACCTTCTCTGGCAGTGCCTGCTGACTTTTGCATTGGTTCCCCAGCAGCTTGAACCACTTGCACCTTCGGGGGCCGTGGCGCTGTGGGAATCCCACGTCTGCAAAGACTGAACAGGATGCAGGCCAGAGTCTGCACAGAGAACCACCCGCTGTGGGGAGAAACAGATCTGCCGGGCCAGCGGACAGTCAGCATATCCAAAGATATTTTGCTACCAGAAGCCACCAGGGCATGATGT